AACGGAGGAAGTATTTAGAAATTATTTTTGGATCATTTGCGACATTGTTGCTCTTGCAAACTACCAGCCATAGAACGCGACGACTAAAACCGTCTATATACACCCATGTATTGGGAATCCATGCGGTCTTAGTTTGTCGTAACCATCTGCGTGCCAGCAGAAGTTTGGACCAGGGTTGTTATACTCTCTTCGCTTAAGACGGTGTGATCTACGTTCATTAGATCCTTCGGGATGTATTTCACGAAGCAGTCTTTGTACTACCCTTCGCGGCACTTTACCGTGATATTTCCTTCTAATAAGCCGCCGCATTGCACAATATCTTAATAGGCACCCGTCGCCATTTAGTTCTTGTCTGATCAAGTGAGCAACCCTTTCTTCGTCTATTTCCTCAGGTGCATGTCTTCTGCTCAATCCAAATTGCTTTAAACGATAACAGAGAGTTCTGGAAGACATTGTTATACCATGATACCTTGATAAGAACTGGAGGATTACATTGTGTTCAAAACCCGAATGAAAATAGTGTCGTATAGCTTGTTCTTCTTTCAAATTAGCGGGAATGAAAAGTGCTATCCCAATCAGGTCGACTTCTGCCATTAATACTTACATTATAATCACAAACACCAACATTACTTGATAAAATCAGGAGCCCAGGAAAAACAATCAGGAGCATATTATTTAATTTACTGGCATGTGCATTCCATTTAATAGATGTATTTTGACGAGTTTCGAATCTTTTGGGTTATTGCGAATCTTCTGGAGTGTTTCAAATCTTTTGGGGTGTTTCGTATCTTATGGGGTGTTTCGAATCTTTTGGAGTGTTTCGAATCTTTTGGTGTGTTTCGAATCTTTTGAGGTGTTTCGAATATTTTGTGGTGTTTCGAATCTTCTGGGGGTGTTTCGAATCTTTTGGGGGGTGTTTCGAATCTTTTGGGGGGTGTTTCGAATCTTTTGGGGGGTGTTTCATATTAACCGTTGCAATTCGATTTTCATATTGGGGTGCTTTGCGACTCCTTGGGTGCAATAATTTTTTGGGGGGTGTTTTGCACATATGGGCATAAAAAACGAAAACTCCCCCTCGCGTAGTTTCGGAGAACCGTCGTCGTGTTCCCTTGAATAGATCATGGCTCTTGACCAATGAAATCGCCTGAAATCTTATTAAGCCCATTTAAGGTTATATAAATATACAGAGATAAATACATATTACCCACACTCGGTCACACGACGTCCTTTTCAATCCAACCTAGTCAGGCTGATGCAACCAATACGAACGCTGACGAAGGACGGTAAGTGCAAAAAATTAAGTGTTCAATTCAACTTTATTTATCTCTGGAAGTATTCATCAAGGCGATGAACGTTTTAAGGGCTATTTATATATGGTACCCGGGATTCACACTGGATTCAATGAAGTGTGAAGTATTTTGAGCAATTGAAATAAGTCGTTCTTCTTACAGTAATCATGATCTATTAAACAAAATTGCTTGTTACAAATTGTATGAAATTCCATGTTTCAGACAAAAAGCAAATGTTGTTGAATGTTATTAATCGTCTTCTTCTGGCGCGTTCCTATAAATTTCGTTTAAACAATATTTAAAGTTATCTAACTATAGTTTGTTTAAGGGCTGAAAACGTATTTCAATTGCTCAAAATACTTCACACTTCATTGAATCCCAGGTAAGCGAGACCATATATATAAATAGCTCCTTAATGAACGTTTCTCGGGAAGGTAATGTTCGTTTATATGAGCTTTTCAGCGCTGTTATTTTCACAGTTGTATCCAGTCGATCAACCGAATTCATGAAGATGGGAGCTGATTCGATCGATCGTCTTGGACGGGAAACTCGTCAATGAAAACCCCGTTTGAATATAAATTTAGGGACGGAAATTCGTCTTAAATTTTAGTGTAAGTTTAAGGTTTAGTATATACAGATAATTTTATATGCCTTATGACTTATCTCGATAATTCTATTCTCGAGTTTTCCCTTGCTTGGCAACGCTTTACCGTCTCATTTTTAATATCCGTCTGCGAATTTAATTAAAACGAGTTTCTCGACTTTCCCGTTCACTGATGGAAAACTCGTCTGTTGCCGGATCTATATATTAGACGACAAGTTTCCCATCTCTAATATGTGAATTGGCAATTGTGTATCAGGAAATTCAACAACTGAAGGGCTGAAAAGAAGTCGTTATTAGTAAAATGTGGCGTTAAAATTGCAACTTTTAATAACTTAACTTCAAACAGGTTGTTATAGTTTAGCGGTTGTGCGAGGAAGACTAACAAATTTTAAGACATGAACAAAATCGTCCGTTTTGTATGTTATGTATATGCACAGAATAGTATAAACCGACAAATTGATAAATTCAAGGACTTTCAAGACTTTGAATTTTTATAATTAATTTTTGAAACACGTTTTCTGAGTCTGACCAGAATATTTATTTCTTATAACTATGTCTATAAGCTTTCGGGCCACCTTGTCCTTGTAACATTAATATTATTATTATGACCAAATACATTGCGATCGATCGTCGCTAAAATCTGATTTAAGGCCCACATAAAAAGTGTTATTTTCCGCTGGCTGAGGCACGAAAGAAGCGGAAATGTTTTCTCACACACTGCTGGGGGCCTGATGAAATCAGGGTGTTACGGGTGGTGCAGGTTATATGAGCATATTTTTGTTGTTGCTCACCGTATAGCTTCACAGTATTTTTTCGCTCGCGATTTATTTAAATTTATTGAGGCTTTTTAACCTAATTTCTTTCACGAAAGCCATGGATAAACGTGATAAACTAACGAAGAGGTCGTCGAGAGCCTTAGAACGGCTCGAGGCACACCTGATTAGCCCAAATAATGAGGAAAGTTTTCGCCGCCATGTGGGCCATTCATCAACGGAAGACAGCCCAGCCGATAAAAATGCTGGTAGTGCTCGGCGCAGTGTTCGCAAAAGCGAGGACCGCCGACGAGCAAGAAGTCCTTCACGTAAATCAAAATCTAGTGGTCGAGAGAGGGGAGATTGTAGCCGTAGTTCTCGTCGAAGCGGTAGAAAAAGTGTGTGTGAAGAGAGCTGAAGCCGTTCGCGTTCTCGGGCAAGGAATACTTAGCCTTACCCTGGTTCCAGAGGTTTAAAATAAACCTCTGGTTGAAAGCGGCAATTGATTCATCGAGCCGCGCCAATCAGTTTGAATTAGGGTCAGACCCTGACTCTGTCTCCTGATTGGATGATTGTATTAAAGCTCTCTGATTGATTCAAATAAAACATAT